GCACCAGCTTTCAATAGAAGCTGCAACCATAAAACTGAAGTTCAATTCCACAAAGGAGCCAAAGTACTTTGCAAGAGAGCTGAAACAGCATGGCCCTGGCATGTGGCTCTTGGCCATCCCTCATTGCTGAGTCGAGGACTGACCCCAGCACAGTCCATACTACACCAGTTTTAAGACGCCAAGCTACAAGCCACACACAATGGTTCCGATATACTTGGGTAACTCACATTTAGAATTGATTTCTTCTGCCCTTCTCCACTAGTTCCTGTCCCCACTACCAGAGGCTGAAACCCTGAAACCATCCTTGGTACGTCCCTCCCCATCATTCCCGTATCACTTGCCACATCCTACAGATACGATCTTTTTCTTTCCTCCTTTTCATTCCATACTTCTTCATCAAGTACACATTGAGTATCTAAGGCAGTATAAATTCATCAGGGAATATGATGGGCAGAAAGATTCTTTGCTTTCATTAAGCTTACTTTCTCCTTGCAGAGAAAATACTATAAAAAATAAATACACAGTATGTTAGATAATGATGACTGTTGAGAAAAATAAAGGAGAAAAGGGGATAAGAAGCTTTGGAGAAGAGGGTAGAGATTTTTAGATAGGATAATTTAAGCAAGGCCTCACTGAAAAGGGACCATTTGAGTTAAATGCCAAAGAAAGTAAGGGGATCTAGGGAAGAGCATTTCCAGCACAGGAATGGCAAGTGCAAAGGCCCTGAGGTGAGGATGTGCCTGGCATGTTTGAGGAACAGTGATGAACCCATGTGGTTGAAGCAGAATAAACAAATGGGATGGCAAGAAAGAGATGGGTCAAGCAGGTGACCAGGGGTCAGACTGTGGCCCTAGTAGGTGGTATCAGGAAGGGGCTTTTCTGTGAGTAGTATTTTAACAAGATTCTTCTGTCTGTTGAGTTAAAAGTAACTGCAAGGAGCAAGGATAGAAGAGGGAGACCCATTTACAGGATTCTGTTTTTTCCTTCTCTACTTATCAAAAGCATCATCACCTCTCACTTTGGCCTGTCCCTAGCTTTCTACCTGGACCCCCTCCCTCCATTCCACTCCTTCCCTCCATAGTCTGCCTAAAGGAGGGCTGTCGAAGTCCGCCCAGACCTCCCACTGCCCATCAGGGACGACTTCGGTTACAGGCTGGAACTAAGCTCTCCACACACAGCATGGCCCTACCTCACCTTCTGAACCTCATCTCCCAGGCCTCGGCCACGCACATCCAACACACCAACCACGACACAAGTGCTCCACACTTGCCAATACATCTTCAGTCTGACCTTGCCTTTGCTCTGTCTGACGGGAACACTCCCGCCATCTCCCTCCACCTACTGAAATTCTCCCAGTCTTCCACGGTTCATCACCAATCCCACCTCCCCTGTGAAACCTGTCCTGTTCCCTTGCCTGCCTTTGAACCGCACACCAGTGCGTCTAGCCTCCTTTATGGTCATTATATATATTCATCTGTATTTGTCCTGTCTCCCTCAGTGGACTGTAAGCTCCCAGAGGGCAAAACCTGGCTCACTCATCTTCATATCTGCAAAGCAGAGAGGACAGCACCTTCTACAGAGTAAATAGTTGCTTAATTAAATAATGGCAACATAATCCTTTAGTGATCAAAATTCTCTAACTTTCAATGGTCTCTTTAAATCTGTTCATCAACTCAAAATAACTTTTATTTAGTTAGTGTGTAAACACATTACACTCTAAGACAAAGTTTGGCAGAAAAAAGTCTGCTCTATTTCTTGCTAATTTATAATGCTAAGCAATTAAGCATACAACTTTCAAAGTTGTAGACACAAAAACAAAATTGTTCTTATGATTAACTGCCATCCAAAGTTTTCCGTTTAGGAAGATAAACAGTCAAATTTGGAAAACTAAAGTGCTGGATTTCAAAACTCTGGAAAATTGATCCACTTAAATATTTTAAGTGTTTATTTTTATTTTGTAAGGTTTTGATGCAATCAATACTAATTGTAAGGAAAGGTGATGCAGACACACTAAAAATTCTACTTTCCCCTTTGCGGTGTTTTAAAACAGTCTTATTCCTGCATAATTTATAATAAGAACAAAGAAACACTGAGTCAGATTTCCCCAGTGTCTGTCATTGCGATGTGAGGCAGAGCGGAAAGTCTCGTGCATTTCTTCTAGTGTTCTCTGCAGTAGGACTTTCCAAAAGGGGACCATTCAGGATGGCCCAAATCATTTTCTTTTTAAGGACGTATTAACTTAGCTATAGTTCCACCTCTTCTCTGAAGAAGCTAATATTGGTATCCAAATTTCAAATACTGGGCGGGGCAAAGGTAGGTTTACAGTTGTTTCTATGAAAAACAATACAATGAACAAGTAATACAGGAATAAACACTGTATTTCCCATACTCCCAACTATACACCTATTTTTGCACCACCCTGTATAAAATAAAGACCCAGAGAAGCCCTGCTCAAAACAACAGAACAAGGGAAAAGAGGATCTGGGCATCAAGCTCAGATTTAACTAGAAGGACATCGCACTAACCATTCTTTAATTCAAGACCTTAGTAATGAATCTCAGCTTTGTAACACGAATTATGTCAACAATGGAATGATTCACAACAATGGAATGACTTGCTCTTTTGAAAATCAGTTTAAAACTAAGACTATAGATCTGATTTTATTTCCTATAAGTGAAACCAATATGTGCAAAATAAATATGAACTAACTTTATATATTCTAACTGAACATTATATCAATATTATCAACGTAATTTGAATCATTTTCAGCAGAACATTTTCACTTGATCATCCCATTAAAATAGGATTGCTTTTTAACAGGAAAAAGTGTCTCTTGAAGTTTCAAGAGAGAATCCAGGACACAGGGAAGTAATGCAATGAACCAACTTTATGTCTGAATCAGGCCTGGCTGCAGAAATGACATCAACCATCATCATCAAGGCAGAGATAGGGTGAGGAAGTTGAGAATTTATCAGAAATACTGACAAGAAAATCAGAATGGAAAGAGATTTGATAAACCAACTACCAATCACTGTTAGAAGATTCCTCTCACTCTTTCTTTTAAAATAAAATATCCTGAGCCATGAAACTGAGCATCAGAAAGATGGCAGGAAGCAACCCCGAGTAGCACAAGAATACACCCAATAAAGCAGTGCATAGATTCAATTCTCAAACAATTTAAAAAATTTGCAATGCCTTGTATCACTGTTGAACCTGTCTGCCTAAGCGCATGTCCCCACAGAAGCAGATCCTGAGACGAGGATCCAAGTCTACGTCATTTATCTGGAAGATTCAGGAAACCCTGGACAGAGAATGTGGATATGATGCCCGGGCAGAGAGGGCAGCCTACAAAGGATGCAGACACACACAGACTGCCTCTCCCACGAGCTGGGCATTTGTCAGCCATCGGTGAAGACTGCTCTGGCGGGGGGAGGCCAGGGTGTTAATTCCTTGGCACTTGAGCCTGTCTGACGCAGAAGCCCCACAGTTTCCCAGCCTACGAGGAAAACCTTCAGGCAAACCCTGCAGGTACTGGCAGATGACAGGCCTCCACCTTGAAGACAGGAAGTCTCCACTGCAGCACCCAGAAGAATGCTGTTCCCATCAACAGCCATTTCTACTGTGGGTATCTGGTATCGGTCTTCTCTTTCTCTTTTCTCTACTACCCAATACAGCGTATATTTCACATTCAGATGATCTATTCTTATGCTATAGTACAAAACATACCATTTTAGCTCACCTATGCCTTTCTTTCTCCCCTTGACTCAACTTTATACTCTCCTTAAGTTAAGACTCTAAGTCTACTCTTATACTGTCAATTTTCTAACATCAACCTTGATCTCAACTAAACTGTAAAAAAAAAAACCAAAGTCACTCTTTTGGTAGCAACCAAAATAATAATAATGTCCATGAAAAACGATGGGCTGGTCCACAGGGTAAGAGCTCAGGGCACAATGGCACCAATCTAAACGTTATTTTTCATGGGCTGCAGGGATAGTTTGGTAATGTATTAGTAACTTCTTCTAGACCCGGCAGGTGTCTCTTTGCTTTCCTGTATGTGGTCACACTGAGATAATAATGTGTCTAGGTAAATTCTACCTAAAACAGTAAGCACTTGACTGATCTTATGCTTCATAATTGCATATAATCACTTCACAGAATTCAGGAAATAGCAGAAACTAATGAGAGTACGGCACTGTGGGTTTCCTGGGGTAAAGGGATTTATTTCCACGCAACAGGTACATGACTGCTGGACAGAGATGGGCTGGTTGGGATTCAGTTAAATTGTTTCGTTTTGAAATTGCCCCATCTGGCTTTAATGAGGTCATTATTTTTAAGATAAAAGTAAAAACAGACCAGTACACATCACTGAGACTTTCTGGATGATTTTACACTGGGTTGGGAGGCCGTGCCCTGGCCGCCCATCTCTCTGTCCATTTACAAGCATTTGGCGAACCCACTGTTGAATGAGATCCCTGTCCAGTGCTGGGTTTTATATTTATGGAAGGATCAGGCCATCCTACCAAACCCACCATTTCCCTGAAACAAACCATCCATTTATACAATGCAATAAGTGCTTTTAAAAATGAGACATCTCTAAATATAGTAAATTATACATATATATATATATATATATATATATATATATATATATATATCTTTGGATCTAAATCAGTGCTTCTCAAACTATCTTCGGGGAACAATCATTGTATTGTTATTATTTACAGTCTATCATGTGCCGATACTTTTGCAAAAGCCACTAAAAATGAATCATTAGAAAATAAGTTTTTAAAAAAATACAAGCCCAATTTTTAATTATTTCTATTAGATTCAAGAGGCATAAAATGACTCCGTCAAATTTCTTTAAAAATTCCGCAATACTTACTCTCAATTTCGGTCCTTATCCCGTCTCAGACCAGTGACGGCTGTGGGCAGCACTGGCCTGGACCACAGCCTGAGTCACACTGTGTGCACATATTTATTCAAAAGACATACTTTACCTCTGACATTCTTTCCAAATCCCATAGAAGACACTTTTTTGTCCATTTGCTCATTATTGTTCGATTTCTCCTTCATAACGTCATCATCGCTAACAGCATCAGCAGGAAATTTTTTCTTTTTCTTTTTCTTGTGTCGAGGCGGAAGCTTTTTTGGAAAAGTAAACATTGGGAATATCACAAGAAACATTGCAATGGCACAAAGGAGGAATCCACTCCACCTAAAAAATTGGGAAATGTGAATAGCATTTTTGGCTTTTGTATTGGGAGTGAGAACAAATTAGCAAAGTAGAAGTTTGTGGTGATAAAAGTCCCCAGATAAAAACTTTTGACCCTCATAGAATTCTTCCCTTTTTGCAGTATAAATGAGAAATCTATCCAATAATTATACTCATATTATAATAAACATTATAATGAGCAACCTGAAAATTTTACTCAAGTATTTTAAACACATATGCGTTCATCCTGCTACAATGTATATTTTATAATAAATCAATAATTCATAAATTTAATAGATAAATAGCCCTGGCCAGTGTAGCGCAGTGGTTGGACTGTTGGTTCATGCACTGAAGGGTTGCAGGTTTGATCCCCAGCCCTAGTCAGGGTATGTACGGGACGCAACCAATTGATGTATCTATCTCTCTTAAATTGATCTTTCTCTCTCTCTTTTCCTCCCTCCCTTCCACTCTCTCTAGAAATCAATGGAAAAAATATCCCCAAGGTGAGGATTAACAAAATAATAATAATACAGACTATGACATGCTTTGTGGATCAGAATAGACCCTTTTTTCTTAGAAGAAAACCATTACTACCTCATGTAAAATGTATTTTAAATTGCTGACGGTGCTCAAATATTTTTTTGTAAGCACTTAAGAATATATTGAACACTCTTAGCTGGCCCTCACCATACTGAGCCACGCCAAGACATTTCATTTGATCCTTACTTTAAGAATTATAACCTAGTTGTAAGTGAGCTAAAACTGTATCTCCAAGAAATGCAAGAATGTATACAATTAAGTCTTCGATCATAGAGCATGGATCTTACGAAAGCTCAGATCCTTAGGAGAAGTAGAACTTGACTGTTGTAGAACTGAGAATCTGCCTTTGAACTCACCTGAGGTTACCACGCTGCAGAAACCAGGAAGCAAATACGAAGAGTAGAACACAACTTTAAGGCCTGCACCAGAGCTCTGTGTTTATGGCCTCGGGCTTCTTGCTTGGGTAATTCCCCAGGGACAATCTCTCAGTCCCCTTGTAACTTTTTCTTAGCAAACAGCCCTTGGTCCTACCTAACAGAACGTCTTTCTACCTAGGACTCCTCAACTCCAAACTCTGCCCTTAAAGCTTCCAAGTTCGTGAATGCTCAGACTCTGTCCTCTGTATCAGCACCCCGTCAGCTATAACTGGAATGCAAGCAGCATGCTAAGCATAAATGTTGGATTCAACCCAGTGAGAATACAGACCAAATGCAAAGTAAAAATTTATTTCTAAAAGTAGTGTTTCAATCACAGTGCTGTTAGCTGCTAAAGGTTTAGCTGAATCATTCCTAGAACTAGTCATTAATAATCCAGTGTGCTATTTTCAAACATATTTAAAGTTATATCAAATAAAGATTTTAGAACAATCAGAAAGTGGCTTCATCTTGGGTAGATTTCTCACTATGGACTTGTCGCAATGTCAGTTATTCAGGATATAATCACAAACCCAGTGCCTGACCCAGAGTAGACACTGAAAAAGTTTCTTGAATACATTGAATCAGATAGACAGGTTTCAAAACAATCAAGTCACCTGTCTGCAGGGAGCAGAACTACTATAATATCTGGCCCCTGTAGTACTTGCCTGCCTAGGAGGCCTTCACTAACCTGGCCCTGCTCATCCACCTTTCTTGAATCTCTTTCTGCAAATCTGACATTCAGTCTCCCCAGCCTCCAGTTCCCTCGTCCTCCCATGCTCTCTCCACAAGAGGGCAGGCAGCGTGGTGTGAAGGACAGTTCTTAAGCTATAGCTTCAGACAGACCTGGCTTTCCGTCCTGTCTTTACCACTTACTAGCTCTGAGATCCTAGGGAACTTATTTTGCTTGTCTGAACCCACTTTCTCATCTGAAAGAAGGGCAATAATAACTGTTTTGGAGTCATCGAAGTTAATAAGACAATGTACAGAATGAACCTAATAACATGCCTGCCCCATCAGCAAGCAATCACAGTAGTTCATTTTGGTTTTATGTAGATCTGTAAGCAGGCTCCCACACCCCCAGCCAGAGCCATTGACTTAACGTTACATGCAAACATTAAAGATACATTCACAGTAGCCCCAAATGGGAGTAAATACAGAAGAAGGGGAAGAATGATAGTGGATAAACAATGATATAAAGGTTTGGGGACATTTCTAAGCAGAGCAAAGCAGCCCGCACTCTTCAACGGTCCACAGTGACAAACCGTTGTTAACATGTGGTACAATGATGGTGCTAAAGAGAACCCTGAGAAAAGCCGAGTAAGACAAGAAGATGTGCATTACGTGTTGGAAAAAGAAGCAAGAATAAGAGTCAAAATTGAAAAGCCAGGGTTCCCAACTCCTTTTTACGAGCCATTGTTCAGAGACTGTTCATTAAAAGGGTCCGTTAAGTATGTTGACTAAGACCTCCATCCAGACTCAGTTTATCCCAGGTCTCACTGCCTCCGAGGCTCTGGGTGAGTAATTCAGATTGCTGAGCAACAGTTTCCTCATTGGCAAAATGGGCATAATATTAGTGACTACATATAGTTGTTATAAGGCTTAAACAAAAATGTGTATAAAGCTCTTAGTATAATGCTTGACTCATAGAAAGCACCCAATAAATGTTAGCATTATTCCTTCCTTCCTTCCTTCACTCTTTCAGCACATATTCATTGAAAAATATATCTTTCTGCTAGGCATGGGATAAAATAACATTGTATCACATAACTATGTATTTGTTCAAGGTAGAAGTCTTACAAACAGGGCTACTCAGTAAACAAAATTCACTTTTTAATTAGGTCCTTATTATATTTTCCTATATTAAGAAATTTTATCATTTGTAGAACTAATATTGGGCCATTAAAATGAATAAACTACTTGAACATTGATGACATACAAAGGAATGAATAATAACTAACACATTACATAGCAAGAACTATTTAGACCTCTACATACATAGACTCATTCGTTCCTCACAACAACCCAGTGAAGTAGGTATTCTAAGTACTTCCATTTTATGGATTGAAAAAACAATAGCAACAACTGAGACACAGAGAAGTTAAGTAACCTCCCCAAGGTCACACAGCTAGTAGGTGGCAGACTGGGATTTAAATCCAGGGGACCGGGTTTCAGGGTCTGCACTCTTAATCCCTCCACTTGCTAACAATGGGATTGATGTCTACTAGGAAACTTCTTAAAGACAGGATAAAGCACCAATACAATGAAAACTCCTGCCTCCTTCTTTCTCCTGCACCCCAGTTTTTGGTCTTTGCCTCTCTCCCCACCATGCTCCTCTCATGGACATCTGCATAGAACACAGAATATACGTGGAATGTTTATAAGTCTAGTTTTCTGTAAGCAAAACAAAAAGGTCCTTGCTCTAATTTATTTCAAAACTGCAAAGAAAACAGTAGTTGAGACCACAAATTTCACTATCAGTCAAGAACTGAAAACTCCTGTGTTATTCCCCTCGTGCTGTCAAGGGAAATTCCTTTTGTAAATTTCAAAATTCCGCCAGGCCAGGCTCATCCAGGTCTCAGCACTTCCTTCTTCAAAGGGCACTACTTATGAAAATAAGAAGTGTTCCATAACCTAATTGATATTTTTAACTTTTTTGAAAATAGTGTTAAACATTATTCCCATCTACCTCAGAGCTATGAGGTTATCATCTTGTCATGAAGCCCAGAACACAGTACTCTAAGAAACTCTTTAGAAACTAATTACTCGACACTAATGTCTGATACTGCCGTATTCTCTCTGGTATAAAATGAAAATGTGTTATCAATGTATACCTGTTACTAATGCATGTTAAATGAATTTAAGACACCAATACTTTATAGTGCTTACAATTATAAAAAAAAAAAAAAAAAAAAAAAAAAAGAACCCCTGTTCAAGTGGATAGCTGTGGAAGACTCGGACACAGCCCTGGCTCTCTGAGTAAATCACCTAACACCCCAAGTGGAGTTCTCCTTCTCTGAGTCCTCAACATTGCTTACTTAACAAGACAGCTGAGGGCTACAAGTGAGCGGGGGCTAACTCTCCAGCGCACGTGGGGAACAAGCTGCTCCCCAGTGAAAAGATTCAGTGTGTGTGACAACGGAAAAGTAGAGCTGGAGTTCTGGGCACTGGGGGAGGGTTGACAAAGTACAAACACAATAAGAAAGTGGGGGAAATTATTTTAAAGCACAGAAAAGATCATGAAAGCGTTGATTCAAGTCCACAGGAAAGTCCCAGCAGCCACATCACCCTTGCCCTCCATTCTGCTCTAGAGGAAACACCTGCCTCCTTCTGAAAGAATGGAGAGTAAGCTGTCATTCCCAAACCCTCTGTATCAGTGTCCTGTGGCTGCTATAACAAATGACCACACACTTTGTGGCTTAAAATAACACACATGTATGCTCTTACAGTTCTGGAGGTCAGACATGGGTTGGCAAGGGTGCCTTCCTCCAGGAAGCACCTACTTCCTTGCCTGTCCAGCTTCTAGTGTCCACCTTTGCTCCGTGGCCCATGGCCCGTGGCTGGTGCTCGTGGTCCTCCATCTTCAAAGCACATCACTCCAACCTCTGCCTCAATCACCATATCACCTTTTCTTACTCTGACCTTCCTGCCTCCTTCCCTCCCTTGTAAGGACCCTTGTGGTTATACTGAATTCACCAGGGTCATCCAAGGTAATCTCCCATCTCAAGATCCTTAGCTCAATCTCATCTACAAAGTCCTCATTGCCAAAAAAGGTGACACATTCATAAGTTCTGCGGATTGGGACATAGATAATTTTGGGGAATTATTATTTTGCCTACTACACCCTCTTAGGTGACTTTTGGCTACTTATCATGTTCTTCTTGGGGAAATTTTTATGTTAACTATGAGGGTACCATGAGTCTATCATTAATAATAAGTAAAATGAAAAATTTAGTAAACAGTTCTTACCAGTTTCCAATGAAACGAGGGTCATTCTGGTCAAGGTGAACAGGATTTCTGGGATCAACATAAAAGCCAATGAGAAGTCCACCTAATAAATATCCCACTGCAGGACCAAGAGCTCCCATGACATACATGATGGCTGAGAAGACAGAAGGGGAAAAGTGAGATACAGCAACACGTCCCTTACGTTTCTGTCGTTGTCTCCGTCCAGTCACACCACGCAGAAGTCACAGCTCAGTCCAGTTAACAACTCCCAGAAAAAGAGTGAAAAGACTCCCTCTTTGGAGAACTTGACAGAATGTGTCTACGTTGACATTTGGGTTTCAAATCATGTCCTTTATTTAACTGTTCCCTGTGGTTCTCTTAGTTTGAGAGCATCAAAAGCACTTGGAGAACTTTTTGATTGATTTTGTTTTGTTTTGTTTTTTAATATAAGTGCTCAGGACCTACCCCAGATCCACTCAATTCAAATTTCCGAAAGTACAGACCTGAGTGCTTAATTGAGGCAGTCCCTGGATGACCAAGAGATGATAAAAGGTTTTCTCAACAATAAGAAAAAGGGGGGAAAGTAGATGCCACTTGTCACAGCGAGACGGTTCTAACCAGTGAAGGGAACTCAAGGTCAGGTTTTGCCATGAAGCTGATTTAGTTGAATTGGCATAGCTTCTTAAACACCCTCAAAGCGCTAATACTTCCCAATCCCCACTTTAGAACCCACGATCTCATGATGAGTTTGGTTTATTGTTCATTGAGGAGTCTTACTTCAATGGCATGAGTGAGAACCCAAACCGGAAGTACTAACCCACAGTTGAATCCAAAGATAACTTTTTAAAGCAAAGTCCAAAGAGGGAGGGGCTGGGTCTCACTGTCCGTAGATCAGAAAACTTGTCATTTCACCATCAAAATGGGCTTATGGCAAAATAAATAATATATATATATGTGTGTGTGTGTGTGTGTTATATGTTATATATATTATATATAATATATATATATTATAATGTTATATATATATAATATATATATATATAACAAATTCACTTTCATTTCTTTTTATTAAATCCTCACCAGAGGACTTTTTTTTTTTGCATTTATCTTCTAATAGCGGGGAGGGAGAGAGGGAGGAAGAAAGAGAGAAACATGGATGTGAGAGAGACACCTCGAGTGGCTGCCACCCACACAACCCCAACTGGGGCCGGGGACAAACTGCAACTGAGGTACGTGCCCTTAGTGGGAACTGAACCTGGGACTCTCCCGTCCGCAGGCTGACCCTCTATTGCTGAACCAAACTTGCCAGGGCACTGTCATTTCTTTATATTGTTTTCATGCTACGATTTACATTTTTTAAATATTTCCCCAATTTTTTAATTTTGAGGTAGAATATGAAATTCCTTGAAAGTCATAGAAGATCTAGCCACACTCCAAACCGGTGTTCGTCCTGATGAAACTCAGTTACATGGGGACAAACCAAATTACACCTCAGGGAATGATAAACGGGTGGTACGTGTGTCTCCTCTGTGGTGCCATTGTGCATTTTAAGCACTGAAGAAATGAGTGGTTTGCCATAGCCTCTCAACAGGACTGTCTTTACCAGACCACTCAGAAGAGCTGCACCTCTCTTTATCATCTGCACCTGAGGAAACTGAATCATTCTGCCCCTTCTGTTACTTATAGCTGCAGACAGTCATGTAACACCTGCTCTCACTTTTCACAGTTTGGGAGAGACAGTGCAGTGTTTATTTCTTTTACAGAATCATTTGCTTGTAACAATAAGACATTAGGTGTTTGGACTTCTCCACCCGTGCTCAGAAATGCAGGCACATTCTCGGGTGATGTGTTCTTTGGGAAGTGTGCTCTTCGTAAAGTAAAATTGGAGTTTTGATAAATATCTTGTTAACCTCCCATTTGTAGCCTAACGTGGAGCTGAAGAATAGAAAGTACATAACTTTGCCAGTCCCAGGTATTTCCTTATGCATATGGAGATAAAAATTTATGTTTACACCTCCAGGTAAACCAGCACCGTGTATAACTTAAAAATGTAATGAGGCCAAAATGTGACATGAATCATCTTCCCAAAATAGTTCCTCTAGCAGGAAAGACACTGTCATACAAACAGCCGGGAAAGGGGGTATTTCTGCCAAAGTGCTCATGCCTGGGGCACCTGGTGCGTCTCTGAGCACCAAGCTGCAGCGTGGGCCATGCTCTCAGGCCCCGGGGCCTGCAGTGACCCAGTGATGGGGAATCCACACCTTCACTACTTCATGAGACACAGATGGAGCTTTTTAAAATTCAACTGTGCAATCAGAAAAAAATTATCTTCATTATGTCTAACAGAATCATTCTTATTAACAGAAATAAACATATACATATATATGCAGATCTATAAAACTATACTGTATGCTGTATATATACACTATAGCATATAGTATAGTATTTATACTATATATAATTATGTGTTTTATATGTGTTACATACATATATGTATATCTATAACTACACTATGTGCTATACTATATATGTTTATATATAGTTAGGAATCTATATCAATAAGTATATGTAATATATTGAAAATATGTCATAACTCATGGACATAGTCCCATGTAGTAGATAAACCATTCTGGTCACTGAGTTAATCTTTTCAATTGATTAACCAATGGCACTCATTCAGAGCTTATTAGAAGGAGCAAATTGTTGACAAAAACACATATCATTCACTCCCCAGTCAAAAATTCCCTTACTCTGGCTGGTTTGGCACAACGGTTAGAGCATTGGCCCAAGAAAGGGTCACGGGTTCAAGGGCATGTGCCTGGGTTGCAGGTTCAATCCCCAGCCTTGGTTGAGGTCATTTGGGAGGCAATCAATTGATGTGTCTCTCTCACATCAATTTTTCTCTCACGCGCTCTCTTTCTCTTTCTCTCTCTCTCTCTCCACCCCCCCTTCCACTCTCTCTAAAAAATAAAATCAATGGAAAATATACTGGAGTGAGGATTAACAAAAAACAAAATGAAACAAAATTCCCAATCACCCCCCCACACACACACACACACACACACACTGTCTACAGAAAAAAGTCTAATCTGCTCTGCCTGGAGTTCAAGGGCGGGACAAGCTGGCCTCCTGCTGCTGGGTCAATCTTCCAACCTATTTCCTGCGCTCAGGGCTCTAGCAGACTGACGCTCAAATCAGGCCTGGGCAGATCGCCCCTCCTGCGTGGTGCCCCCTCGCACCTTTCTATCTGAACGCCACCCACTCTTTTTTTTTTTTAATCCTCACCTGATTTATGTTTTTATTGATTTTTAGAGAGAAAGGGGGAGAGAGAGAGAAACTTTGATTGGTTGCCTCCCATATGCACCCCACCAGGGATCAAACCTGCAACCTTATATTCCCTGATTAGGAATCGAACCCACAACCTTTTGGTGTATGGGATGATGCTCCAACCAACTGAACCACCCAGCCAGGACTAAACCTCACCCATTCTTCAAGGTCCAGCCAAGCCCGGCACTGATGGTTCTCCCCTGCGTGGTCTTTTCTTCAGCATCCCTGTAAACTGTGTAATTTACAGAGGTTTTTCACATGCACGAAAACCCACACTTTCTCATCATGCACCCCAATCAGTAAAGGTTTTAAACATTTGACTACAGTGTCATTTTCAGTATAAATAATGTATATGTAGCATTAGTATCTCTCACCATTCATATCTAATGTTATCAGTAAATCCTGTTGGTTCTACCATCCAATCATATGCAACATTCACTCCTTCTCCTTAGCTCTACCTTGGTCCAAGCCATCGCCACTCCTCTGGAAAACTGTTCGAGGCCACCCAGCTGATATCCCTGCTGCCCTTACTTATACTGTCAGTACTGCAATGTACTTAATACAGCAGCCTTGCTGGTCCCTAGAGCCACAAGCCAGGCCATGTCACCTCTTGCTCACCTCCTCTCAGGAAAACAGGTACAGCCTATCTTCCTAAAGCTAAGCAGTGCTCATGCAAGTTCTTATTATTCTTTTTAAATAAACTTTACTGTTTTTTCTAATGATATAAAATATACAGGGATTCAGTGTAGAGAAACTTCCAAGAGCATAAAAACTAATTTTTTTCTTTATTGATTTTAAAAAGAGAAGGGAGAGGGAGAGAGAGAGAAACATCAATGAGAGAGAACATTGATTAGCCGCCTCCTGCATGCCCCCCATTGGGGATCAGGCCCACAACCTGGGCATGTGCCCTGACTGGGAATTGAAGTGGTGACCTCTTGGTGCATGGGTCAACGCTCAGCCACTGAACCATGCCAGCCGGGCAGAAAAACTAATTTTTTAAATCACCCAGAATCTCTAACTACAGATAGTAATACTAATAGTAGTAATAAATGTTTTGGTTTTTACTATTTATATACTGCATACATTTTAAACAGCAGGAATGATACATACTTATTGTTCTGTTGTTACTGGAGAATTGCATGGGTTGCCTTTCTGTCACTAGAGGGAGTGGGGTTCGTGGGGTGCCGTTGGAATAAGCATTTCTGGAGTGCCCCACAGGAGAATGAGACGTGGTAAAGGCTTTATTTGTATATAGTCACATCCCTCGGTTTGCAAAGCCCCATTTGTCTTAGTCCAAAGTAGAGCCAGACGCAAAGCCAGTGTCCAGAGTTTCCATTCCACTTGGAGTTCAGTCCAGCACAGCATCAGGCTAATCACAGTCCATTAGTCCATTGTGTGTGGGGTCCCCACGGCCACGAGACATGTGGGCAACTGCAGGAGCGTGAGAGCCCCGCAAGCCAGGAGTGGGGTGTGAGCAGCAAGAGAACAGGAGCACCCAGGGAGGGACCCCCTTTGTTCAGGAGTCAAGCCTCTCAGATTTTACGCCCTTGTGGTGGCCACGCCTATTCTGGCCAATTACCTGTCTCCACGTGCGAGAGACAGGTGAGCATCTTCCCACATCACCCAGACTTTACTGGGCATGTGTCTACTGTCCAGTCCCTTCTCCCGGGACCTGTGGGGAGCAGACTGGAGAGAGTTACACCGCAGCTTCCTGGCAAAGCTGTGCAGATGGCATGCCTACACCACCTGGCCTGCCCCTTGTTCCTTTCCTATAACTGACTAATAGCTGGGTTATTATAATGGTATCACTATAATATATTTTTTCAC